ATGGACAATGGGGAATGGACAATGGGGAATGGACAATGGGGAATGGACAATGGGGAATGGACAATGGGGAATGGACAATGGGGTATGGACAATGAGCAATTTACAAACGGGAATGACGCGCAAAACGTGGCGACGCCGCGGCGGTGGGCACCTTAATTATCTCCTCGTTCACGTTCAGGTCGTCCAAATTGATGCACACCTTTTTTTGGAGTAGGCTAAAATGAGAAAAAAAAAAAAATCAGGACTACATCGCAGGGCAGCCATAACGAGAAAAAGGTTTGTTCTTCTTGTTCTCCTTTTCTTTTTCTTTTTTTCCACTTGGTATGGTTAGACAAATCACCCTCATCCCTTCCCTCTCCCGTCGCAGCTCCTCACCTGGAGTACTTATTGTACATATTGTTGTAATTGAAAGCCTCCTTGGATGTGCCAGGTTTCTCCATTTTTATCATATAGTGGAAACGAAAGGAAGGCAGGGATTCATTTTTGTCTTTTATTTCGACCAAACTGTTTTCATACTCGGTGACGTTATTCAGATCGTTCTTCAGATCGTTGTTCCCCGTTGAGTCCTTGTGGAGTGGTTGGTCGTACTGATCGGCTGGAGGGTCCTTCTCTTGTGCGTCTATAAAATGCGGGCGTCCGGAGATTTATGAGGGGCAAACGAACGCACACAGGTGGATACTTCTACTCGGCGATGCATTTCCACGCGGGCTAATTGCTCACCCTCGTCTTCCTGTTCCTCCATCCAAATGAACTTCTCTTCGTCCTCTGCCAGTTGGGACCGTCTCTGCGGAGGGAAGTGGCATAACGGGGGGGTTAAGGAAAAAGGCGACCAACGGAATCAACAAAACGAGCGAACGCAAAGGAGAAGCGTAAGCGCTCACTCCAGGGCGCACCCGAAAACGCTGGAGCCTCTCGAAGACATTCCTCTGCCTCCTCTTCATCTTGGCCTTGTCTGTCGGGATCATCACATCGGAGTACTCCCTGGGGATGTTCATGACCTTCTCCTGCTGCCTCTGATTTTTTAGGAGCAGCAAGTTTCGTCTCTTTTCCCTCAGGTACGTCAGTATGGCGCTTCTGTTTCCTTCCTCCACCTGTGTTTGTGAGGTGTAAGTGTGTTTATTTGTGGGGAGAGGCAGGTCCATTATGGGAGAGTTAAATAGGAAGACACGAAGGAGCGCACACTGGACAGAATGTTGAGACGCCACAGGGGTGGATCACTACATTGGTGGAATCCAAAGTGTCTTTTTTCTTTTTCTTCCTTTTTTTTTTCTTCTTTCTCCTTTTCGCCCTTACCGCGTTATAGTTAAAGTGCTTGTGTTTCAGGAGGTAGTTGTACACGTAGAAGAGTGCGCAGTGGAAGTAGTTCACCTTTTGTATCACGTGTCGGAGCTCCGACCTCTCCACTTCGTTTCGTCTTGTGTAGGCTTTGCTTATCTGTGCGGGGTGAAAGCGAGTATTTGTATGAGTGTGTCTGTCTGTTTGTGTATGTGTGCGTATGTATGCATGTGGGGAAGCCTCCAAAAAGGGGCTCTCCTTTGTGCCATTTACTGTGACACGTTTAATCCCTTTAGCTTTACGTTGTAGAAGCCTATCATCAATCGGGTGAAGTCCGAGAAGTCGGGTTCGCCTGCGTATTTCTGGGAATCGAGGGAGGGGGATATATGAGGAGGAACAGCAGACCAGGCGAGACACAGTTTCGATGAGAACGAGTCGTAGGTTGTCTGTCCCGCTTATTCTGTCGAGTTTAGTTCTGTTAGACTTCCCCTTTCGCTTCTTCCCAAGGGGATTATTACCTGCAGAAAGCGCTTGCACCTGCTCTTCTTGTAGCAGCCTCGACAGGTCTGGAAAAAAAAAAAAAAAAAACAAGAAAAAACTATATG